TATTCATTTCTCTCTTACGATATTTCCATTTACCCTCTTCTCGGATCTTCTCTCTTTCTCTCTCTCTGTTTTTCTTTTTCGCTTCCTCCAGGAGAGACAAACCTGAAGTTTCGAGGTGGCACCAGGTCGGACCTGTTTAAGGGTTTTTAATTCGAAGGCAGGGTCGGTTCGAGGGGCCTCGAAGCCGTTCGTACGCGCTAACATTGCCGATTGTTTCCAACCGGGTAAATTTACGTGCGCGACGTAGAGGGAGAGGGGGAGGGAAAGAGGGCTACGAGAGAACGCGTTTGCGTCCCCCTCCCTCCCCAGGATTTTTCTTTTTTTCTTTCTTTTTTTTTTTTTTACCGTTCGATTTCCACGATCGACACCTCGGGGACAGGTATAACGGGCTACAGGGACGAATGAATGTTTCAAATTTTCGGAACGACCATCTCTCTCTCTCTCTCTCTCTCTCTCTCTCTTCTCGTGCTTTATTTAATTTTTATTCGATAATGGACAATACATATTCCCCCGTTGTTTATTCATACAACGCACGACCTCTGCACTTCGCTCCTCCCCGACGTTGCACTTTATTTGGTCTTTTATTATTTATTACCGGTGAAATTCCGCGCATTGTTTTTCCAAAAACACCGCAACTAATCATCGCGCTACTCCCTCTCTCTCTCTCTCTCTCTCTCTCTCTCTCTCTCTCTCNCTTTCTCCTTCCGCCACCTATTCGATCGATCGTTTCACAAAAGCATCGCCTGGCATCGCTCGCTCACGGTCGATCCTCCTCGATAGTTTCGTCGCGTTTTCGACGAGCCAATCTCCACGATCCTCCTTAACGAACACATTTCTCTTCGCGCTCTTCGTTTCTTTTCCCGCGAAGGATCCGCCTGAGTTATATATTTTCCCATTTCTTTTCCTTTCTTTCCTTTCCTTTATCCTTTATCATCTAATTTTTAATTTTATCCTCTTTAATCTCTTCGCAACGATGTTATTACGCACAGGGAGCAACGAAGCGTGGGAGCGTTTTGCGAGAAACAGCGAAGCAACAACGAAGAAAGCTTGCGAGAGGATGCGATTAGAGAAGAAAGTATAGAAGAAAGAAAGAGAGAAAGGAAGGAAGGAAGGAGGAAGAAAGGAGAGCAGTTTTCGGGATCTCTAGTCCGGATCAGCCATTTTCCTCCGATGCTTTCGATTTTGTTAGTTTGCGATGTAAAGCGGTGCACAGTACAGGTGAGAGTTCTGCAAGCAAGGAATATTAATATATAGTTGTTAGATCTCGGCGGAGAAGTGGCGACGATCGATCGAGGAGAGTAGGGAGATGAAAAAAAAAAAAGAAAGAAAAATCTCGTCATCGATCGTTTACGAAAATCTCTTCTCCACGATTATATTCGTCGACTCGACTCGTCGATACGACACGCTCGAACCTCGATATTAGTAAAATCACGCTCGTACGATTTTAACAACTAAACTTTACCTGAATTCAAACTCGTGTCTCGTCGATCTTCGTTATCGTTTCCTCGATCGTACCCGTCGTACTCGTCACCGTGATCTTCGCCGCCGTCTTCGTCGTCTTCTTCGTCGTCGTCCTCCTCCTTCTCCTCGTCACCATCCTCTTCCACTCGGTAAGATCCGTGTTTCCAGTTCATCCGACACTGATTTGCGAAACCGATCGAGTTTCCCTCGTTTCACTCACTCGCGCACCTCTTCTTCTAATCGCCTCCGCTCGCCTCGTTTTGTCGCGCGAGAGAAACAGTGACAGAGAGAGAGAGAGAAAGAGAGAGGAAGAGAGAGAGAGAGAGAGCGAGAGAGAGAGAGAGAAACAAAGAAAGAAAGAAAGAAAGGGAGAGCGAGAGAGAGAGAGACAGAGAGAGAAAATCGGAGGAAACACCTGGACGAAGGAAAAAGAAAAAAGAAAAAAGGAAAAGGGAGACAGATCTTCTCTTCTTCTTCTTCTTCTTCGTGCACTCTCCGCTTATCGACGCGAGCCGCGCAAAGAATCGCGCACTCCCGGTGGTAGTAGACAGCGCGCCGATTCTTCCCACTTTCTCTCTCGTTTTCTTTCAAAGATGTCTCGGCCGACTGCGAGCACCGATCTCCGCGTGCATCGCTCCGACCGCACACTCGTTCGCGGTTCCACACACGACGACGCCAGGCCGAGGACGGGACACTGTGTGGTCGTCGCCAGTCGTCACTCGAATCTCGTCTCCTCCGCGCGTGCCG